CAGTACCAGTGTCTTGTCTTGCTCGGTCTTGTATATGGGACAATACACGAGCGAATGAGCCTGTATTCCATCCTCTGTGAACAATACACCAAGCTTTAATTGGAGAGTGAGCTATTAAACTTGACAATATGGCATGATTGAGTCGCCATGAACTAAATTCTGCTTCAATGGGTGCGTTGATGCACGATGCACACGCAAGTAACCAGGACGACGATGAGAGACAAATCAAGCCAGTCCAAAGAAAAAGTAGAGCCAGAACGGTATGACGTTGAGCCTGTAGTTTGAAGTTTTGCTAAAAAAGACGCGATGTTAGGCGACATTGATAAGGAGACGACAGTATACGAGCAACTGTTGATGCGCTTTTTGAAGTAGACGTTTGAATTCAAAGCAATCACATTCGATTGAGGATACTGAACATGATTCTTATTGGTGAGAACAAAGCTTATCATGATTTGATAATAATACTCTTTTGTAGCTAAAAGGTACTTTCAAAAGTGAACCTTAAGTTAACATTCGTTTCCATAAACAAGTCCAAACATAAGGAGAATACGTGGAAATGTCACTTAAAATTCAATAAAACCCATGAAAAGTCATCAAAAAGCATTTCTAAATCTAAAAAAAGCGTAAAAGGAATGAAACAAAAGTCTTATTGTCATATTCTGAGCTCTTATCGGCGGCGTAGATTTGGTCTAAAGACAAGGCTGTATCTCGTGATATAGAGCCACATACTGCAGAATCTCAGACGTTGTTAATGGAGAACGTCATTTCTTCATTGCATGTGCTCAACTCTGTATCTTGTGAGTATTTGACGGCTGAGAACGATGCCGAACAAGAACAGATTGTGGAAGCGATGGCGCAAGTATTAGACTGGTTGCACAAGCAGATTACAGCGCTGTCATTAGGTACAAAAGGATTACATCACACAAATGAGGAAGAACAGACGTCAAATGAGCTGCTGTCGACGTTAAGAGAATTGCTACACGTGTTTTATCATTGGCACAAGCTACAGCAGAAGACGGAGGCATTGAATTGTAGGTTTTGGATGTTGTGGATAGAGTTGGGCGGCACTTTAGATGTCTTGCAGTCCTGTGAGATGAGTACAAACAAGGAGAAGAGTTGTGCTATGCTCATGATGACGTCACGTCCTCCACACGACTTTCCAACATCGAAGACGGACTTTAACAAGGAGATACAGGTGATGTTCAGTCAGCAATTGTGGGATGCCGTAATCGCTAAGCCGTTGTGTGAAGCTCCAAGTAGAGTTGTGAGTGATGCTGCGCCAAAGTTGATTGAAGCTTTTTGTTATTGGATGACTGCTGCTATGCATGAATACGACTTAGCATTTATTGTTAATATTGCTACTCCGCTTCGAGAATATCTCCATTCTCCTGCTCAAGTGGCGAATAGTTCGTTGCTGACAGATGCTTGGCTGAAAAATTGTGTGACCTCCGAGTGGGGTGCTGCTCCTATCACGAGCAACGCTGCAGGTGTAGCTGTTACCGCGCTTGTCTTAAGTGCTTTAACATCTGCTTTTCGGCCATTGGAGGTGGCGGGGTATCTAGAGTCGTTGAGAGCTACAATTGTTGACGAGCTGTCGCATCGGCCATTTCCTCAACCACACAGTGCAATTGCTGCGGTTGCTATGGCGCTTGGTCTGGCAAGTCTTGACGACGCTAGGTTTTCAAATAATTTGGAAGCTCAGTTACGATCAGGAAATGCGATGATTTTGAGTCAATTTGCGCTGCTAAGACTTCTCGGTTTGCCCCTAACGTCGACTCGCTTGAAACCATACGATGGCGTAACAATTTCTAATTATCAAATGGAAGTTCATCAGAGGGTAAAGGCTTTGGTAGTTGATTCGTCGCTCGCCGTCCTCCAAGACCTTTCGTTTCGGATGGCGGAAGTGTGCATTGAGGAGACGATTGCCTATTTCAACAGTTCGCTTGAAGCGTACATAGTCTTGATAAAATCCCTACAATCTGTTCTTCCGATAGACTTTTTTCGCCGACAAGTTTTACTCCAAGTCCAGTCGCCAGTTCCTCCTGCAGTCCATGATGAAAGCTTGCTCACCTCAGCAGCCGAAGTCGTGGAGTTTATCAGGAAATTGTATGAAGGCATCGCGCCGATTATGGAACTGTTATCATCCTGTAATCTCGTGCGGTCATTCCTCGCTCTATCTCGAATTGAGTTTGCACGTGAGGTATGCACATCTTCATCTACTAATGCAGCGATGGAAACAGTGACGCAGCAGCTGGAGCAAGCATTGGAGCAGACTGCAGCGCCACCAGAAACGCTTCTGACGCCAGTCTTGCGATCAGTTGCGATACATTCAATGACTGCAAATAATGAGATTTCACCTGAGATAGACATTGTTGCTGGCTGCCAGGCGCTGGCTGTGGGGCTTGTCATTCAGCACAGGCTGCGTATCTTGCTTTTTCAGTGCTCGTCACTGCTTGACGACGCGCTTTCGGTTGCTTTTTCGGTGCTCTACAATGTTTTCGAGCCAGCAGATGCCTTTGGCCATCGTTTTATCGCGGTTTGTCTTTCACATCTGACGCAGTTTACTCCGCTTTTCACAGTGTTTCCGCATTATTTACGACTCACACTGGCTGCATTCCCAGCCAACGCTTCTCCTCAAGAGTTGACAAAAGCATGCGGGGCAATTTTCGGCTCACTCTTTTTTTGCGAAGCTCTCACGATGCCAGCCAAGCCTGACAAGGAGATTGTGCAGACAACTTGCCGAATGGTATTGTGGGCAATTCGGCGATGTTGTGAGCGCAGTACGGAATTGCTCGTCGAAGAAGATGAGGTGGCTGTTGCTTCAGTGCCGACAGAATCTGTTAAGGACAGTGCTGAGGAAAAGAGCCTCAGCAAAGAGAAAGTTGCGAGGGAGACAGACGGATTATATCTTGCCGGCTTGGTGTTTGATCTCATGAAAATGGCACCGATGAACATCTTAAAGGCTGTCTCTATGGAAGCTGAGCGGCTTCTATATCACTGGAAAAATAATTCTCGCGTGCTGTGTAAGCTGAAGAGCGCACTGTTTGCGCGAATCTCACAGAATTGCGAAGCCGAAAAACGCGCATGGTTTGCCGCTTGGTGCATTTACGTTGACAAGCTGTACCCAGTCGAGACATCGTGCTCGAAACGGATGGTGCCATCTCGTTTGTAGACAAACTGTAAGAACACATGAAACGAAGCTAGTAACTTTGAGTTATTCAGTATCATGATGAGAACATTGACCAGTAAATCTGTGCTTGAATGCGTAACACTCGAGCCGCTTGAACTCCACCAACTTACAAGCGCTTGTCACCGTCCCATTTGTAGAACCCCTCTCCAGTCTTGCGGCCAAGTTTGCCCTCTGTCACCTTCATGCGGACAATATTTGGCACGAAGAAAGCAGGCTCGTTTGGGTGATTACGCACCCATCCTTCCAGTATGAACAGCGTCGTATCCAAGCCGACATAGTCCGCCAGTGTGATCGGTCCCATCGGATGGCCAGCACCAAGCTGCATGCTTACATCAATATCCTCCTTAGTGGCATCTCCTCGCTCGTAGAGGGCAATAGCTTGGGCTAAATACGGCACAAGCAGTCGGTTAACAATAAAGCCCGGTGTATCTTTGCAGCTCACCGGATGCTTGCCAATGTCCTGTACCCATTGTGTGCAAGCTTGATAAACTTCGGGATCCGTCGCGTCCGTGCGGACGACTTCCACAAGCTTCATAAGTTGCACGGGGTTGAAAAAGTGCAGGCCAACGACCTGCGATGCGCGTCCCGAGGATCCAGCAAAGTCCGAGATGGCTAGCGACGATGTGTTGGATGCCAAGATGGCTGAAGGCTTGACCACCTTGCCAAGGTTAGCATAAAACGCCTTCTTGACTTCGACATTCTCTACAATCGCCTCAATCACGAGGTCACAGTCCACAAGGTCATCTAATTTTGTCGTGGGTGTGATCCGAGCCAGCGTAGCAGTGGCCTTTTCGTCCGCCTGCTGCTGATTCATGGTTCCCTTCTTTATACTACGACCTAATAACTTGTTCAACGAGGTTTCAATGCGTTTCATGCCACTTTCCAATCCCGTTGAGTTGGCATCTAACGCCACAACGTCAAAGCCTGCAGTAGCAGCGGTCTGTGCAATACCATGACCCATGAGACCAAGACCCACCATACCTACCTTTTGAATCTTAATGTCACCAGAAGATTTTGCCATAGTACGTATCAGAAGTGACGGCATAGAGCGAGGCAATGAGAGAAATAGAGGACGCAACATTATTGATACAGATGTGATTGTTGTGATGGGAGTGGATTGTCAAATGACGTTACATGTGTCAGATGGACCCGATGTGCCAACGTTGAACCTAGCGGGTTTGAGAGGGGACACATACCAATTACATCAAATTTGAACGTTCTCAGTATATTACAATACAAAAACGGTCGTCTATTCGTTTAACAGAATCATTAATGCATCAAAACGAACAATAGTGCAGCATATTGCATTGATGTTCATATTGCATTGATGTTTTTTATCTCTGATTGAGATAAATCAAACCGCACAAGTTTCAATTATTCGTTCAGGAGACACGTTTACATGGCTATGGCTACATTGTGTAACCCCATTTGAATTGACTGTATGGACATTACGTCTTTTCATAAATCATTCCAACTTCAGATTGACGTCTTTTGTAGGTCGAGAGCTTCATTTCCCATTCGTATCAACTCCATGCAATGGATTGAATGAACATACTTACATCTTACATATTTTAAGTCTTAATCACTTCATATTTGTCGTATCTTGACACCAAAACAGACATGAAACATGCTAATTATCTTCATTTCATTCAAATCGCAACATGTTTTTTTCTACCAGGTTTTTCTTCCGTCTTTGTCTTCGGGTCGGCCATTTTCCCCTTGAATCAAGATAGCAACTTTGAAAGGGACCTTGACTATATTTGAGTAACGTATCCTAGCAACATCATTTGTCTCTCTTCATACGATTAATATGGCCACTAATGAACACTCACATCTGTTAACAAACAGTCTTAGTGGATTATGTGAGAGCGGACAAATGATAGTCAAGCCATACGGCCCAGCTGTAACGCTAGCCATGACACTTAATTACGTTATCGGCACTGGCTGCTTTGGTCTGCCTCATGCTTTTATGGAGGCCGGTATTGGGCTGTCCCTTATACTCATGATCGCTGGTGTTGTAGGTTCACTAATTACAATGAACTACACACTAGAATCCTTGGCACGTGCAGAAGGCGTCTGTGAAGCTACTAGTACAGGTGTACCCTGTCACCAGATCACATACCGTAAGTTCGAATTTGCCACGATTGCTGAGATGTTTGTGGGACGACTTGGTAAGGCAGCAGTACAGCTCGTTATGGGCTTATACTGTATTGGATCCCTATGGTCATATGCTTCCGTGTTCTCATCATCCACAGCATCACTCTTCTTCACGTACGCACTGGGAGACACGTGCAACGTATATGGCGACTCTCCGACCAGTGGATGTCTCGACAGCTATTACATGTTTATGGCCATCTTTTCGACAATTGTGCTGTACATGGTACTCATGGACATCAGTGATCAGGCTCTCGTGCAGAAGTTTCTGTCAGCTTACCGTATCGTGGCCTTCGCACTCATGTTGGTGACAATGACGATCAAGGTAGTTACTGACGGATCGGAGGTTGCGGCATCCCGCTACGCTGCAATTGGACTAGTAAACTGGAAGAACTTTGGCAAGGGCTTTGGACCGACATTACTGGCCCTCAACTGCCAGTATAACATGCCGGATGCCCTGCAGCCACTGAATCCCAAGTCCCAGGCGCGCTTCGTTGCGTTCGCAGCGCTGCTGATTGCTGGCACGTGCTATTTACTTGTGGGTTTTCTTGGTGCAATTTCTTTTGACACGATCAATCCATTAGCGACGTTAATGTGGAGTTCGTACACTGGCTGTGGCAATGGGTGGGAGACATGTGAGTACTCAAACCCAATGGGCACCATCGTGCAGGTAATTATTCTACTGTTCCCTGTAGTCAATGTGGTGTCCGCGTACCCGATGGTGGGAGTTACTGTGGGTGACAATATGCTCATGTCGTTTCCGTCTCATCTCACTGCACGCTTTGGCGAGAATCTCACGCGTAGCTTTTGCCGACTATTAGTATCGGCGCCTCCTATTCTATTCGCCATCCTGTTTAAGCGCCTCGACTTCATTTTTACTGTAGCTGGATTGTTTGGCTTTCTGCTTGGATGGACAATTCCAAGCTGGTTTCAAGTTATTGGCAGTCGTTACTGCCAAGGTGTGTGGGGATTCCCTGGCGCTGCCATCACCGAATTCACACAGTCAGTTGTGAGCTCTATTCCGTTTGCTAGTGGGTTCCTAGCTCTGACGTTTGTTATTACAGCAGTTGCAATTGCTACGATCAATGCGTGAGCCGTGTAAAATGTTTGTGGTATAGCAATCCTCCGATCAAGATAAGGACAAACTATACATGAATCCGACAACTACACATTGTCTTTCTCCTGTATATTTGGTGATGCTGCCTCATACAAACACGTGATGATACGGATAGAGCATCAACGTTCAAGGCGTCATCTTTTTGTTTTCTGATGGGTTTTTTCTGCGGTTTTCAAATGGAAAAACGTACGAAATCTGCATCATCTAGAGCAAGTAATTGCCCTCTTGTGGTTGGTTGTTCATATTAATGACTAATCTCCCGTATACTAAAAACAGTTTGTAGCTTTGCCATAAAACCTCCATAGGCCTTTCCATTCAACAAAGAAGATGTCTGATTGTTTCTGTCTTAAGACATGTATGGCACTTTTTCATGTACCATACGAAAACTTGGGACCTACAACGTCGTAGTACATAGTACAATGTAACGAGACCTAAATGAAATTGCTGAGAAACATCAGCATCTAGATTAAAAAGCATCACTGAAAGCAATGAGTCAAATTTATGTCCTGGCCAACAAAAGCGACGTAAATGCTTAGTGGTATCAATATATTTTGGATAGATAAAGCAGTATATTGTAAATAATATAATCTGGAATAGAGTTATCTAATGGGTCGAAATGATATGTTGTTATGACGGGATACTTGTGGTACACACAAAAGTTGCGGATAGTGTAATTAGCATTTATTTTCAAATGATGTTAAACATGAATAGAATTATTACAATTATATTCATCACCATAATAATTGAGTATTTCCTTTGATGGAGGCAGAAGGTGTGAAGGATGAGCCAGCAGCGATGCTGCTCGAAGAGAGCATCGACGCCGATGTGGAATTAGGCGTTGTTATGTTGGACAAAGTTTCGTTGCTGCAGGAGAGTATGGACAAGATGGCGCTCAGCATGTTCAACGCGCTCCGGCTGCTCCCGGCCTCGACTGGAGATGACACCAAGAAACAAGAGACCAAAGACGCGGTATGATTGAGTTGGTGGGGTATTCTATCGACCTTTGTGTAATGTTACAATGCTGTTGTATATTTGGTGTTGTATTGACAGATTACGATGTTGGCCAAAGACGTTCTTAAGATGGTGCAGGAGACTGACGTTCTCATCGACGACCTCCCGGGACTTAACAAGACCGAAACGTATAGATATTTACATGATCTTTAGTAACTTGATCGTTACCATTTCATGGTTCTAATTAGTGTCTATTGTATCCCTGTAGTGAACAAATGGAGGAGCTGCGACGACTGCAGATTCAGAGCGAAGAGGAGGCTCAGACGCTGCGTCAAGTCGCTGAGGAAGCAGGTAACAACGCTTCTTTCTGCGCTCATTAATACACTAGCTACATTTGGATGGCGTTTTCATTATGTGTTTGATTTGTATTGTAGAGCGTTGGATGGAGCGCGCACGAAACTCGCTGCGTGTAATCTCGGAAACGCGTCTGCGTCGATGAGCTTTTCGTACCTAATAGATAGCTAACTGTATAGTTGACGTTTTGCTGTCTCTTATTGATTAAGTTTACTTCAATATTGTAGTCTTAATTTAACATCTTTACGTACTGTAAACGCAGCACCACAAAAAATAAAAGGCTACGACAGTACAAATCCGTATTTGATGATGAAAAAACTGTAAGAAAGGATAAACGTTAGTTGTAATAGGTGAAATAGATTCTGTATTCATCTCTCACCTTTGTCGGTCTCGCTGGGCTAGCTACTGCGATCTCCCTACACCAACCACTCTGTAGTGTCGCCCTCGACTCTTCAAACATCACTTCGCTGCCTCCCATGCGTCGCCTAGCGCAACCGAAAAGACGCGTCCTTTCGCGTCGCCAGAAACTACGATACGACTAGATATAAGATTTCTTTCAAAAACATTGAATTTGCTAAACAGGCCAACAAGGCCTTAATTTGTAGACTTCTGTCATTGCACATTGTTCAATCATAGAAGTTATAAGCCCTTAATTAGGATTAAATTACATTTTCAATGGAAAATACAATAGAACCTCGAGATCACTGTGTGAGCAAAGCTGAACTGATATTGAGTAATGCATAATAATTACATTCATGTTTAACATCCTTTATTTTCAAAGGATGTCTAACATCCTTTATTTCAAAGGATGTTAAACATGAATGTAATTATTATGCAGGACATAAATTTGACTCATTGCTTTCAGTGATGCTTTTTAATCTAGATGCTGATGTTTCTCAGCAATTTCATTTAGGTCTCGTTACATTGTACTATGTACTACGACGTTGTAGGTCCCAAGTTTTCGTATGGTACATGAAAAAGTGCCATACATGTCTTAAGACAGAAACAATCAGACATCTTCTTTGTTGAATGAAAAGGCCTATGGAGGTTTTATGGCAAAGTTACAAACTGTTTTTAGTGTACGGGAGATTAGTCATTAATATGAACAACCAACCACAAGAGGGCAATTACTTGCTCTAGATGATGCAGTTTTCGTACGTTTCTCCATTTGGAAACCGCAGAAAAAAACCATCGGAAAACAAAAAGATGACGCCTTGAACGTTGATGCTCTATCCGTATCATCACGTGTTTGTATGAGGCAGCATCACCAAATATACAGGAGAAAGACAATGTGTAGTTGTCGGATTCATGTATAGTTTGTCCTTATCTTGATCGGAGGATTGCTATACCACAAACATTTTACACGGCTCACGCATTGATCGTAGCAATTGCAACTGCTGTAATAACAAACGTCAGAGCTAGGAACCCACTAGCAAATGGAATAGAGCTCACAACTGACTGTGTGAATTCGGTGATGGCAGCGCCAGGGAATCTCCACACATCTTGACAGTAACGACTGCCAATAACTTGAAACCAGCTTGGAATTGTCCATCCAAGCAGAAAGCCAAACAATCCAGCTACAGTAAAAATGAAGTCGAGGCGCTTAAACAGGATGGCGAATAGAATAGGAGGCGCCGATACTAATAGTCGGCAAAAGCTACGCGTGAGATTCTCGCCAAAGCGTGCAGTGAGATGAGACGGAAACGACATGAGCATATTGTCACCCACAGTAACTCCCACCATCGGGTACGCGGACACCACATTGACTACAGGGAACAGTAGAATAACCACCTGCACGATGGTGCCCATTGGGTTTGAGTACTCACATGTCTCCCACCCATTGCCACAGCCAGTGTACGAACTCCACATTAACGTCGCTAATGGATTGATCGTGTCAAAAGAAATTGCACCAAGAAAACCCACAAGTAAATAGCACGTGCCAGCAATCAGCAGCGCTGCGAACGCAACGAAGCGCGCCTGGGACTTGGGATTCAGTGGCTGCAGGGCATCCGGCATGTTATACTGGCAGTTGAGGGCCAGTAATGTCGGTCCAAAGCCCTTGCCAAAGTTCTTCCAGTTTACTAGTCCAATTGCAGCGTAGCGGGATGCCACAACCTCCGATCCGTCAGTAACTACCTTGATCGTCATTGTCACCAACATGAGTGCGAAGGCCACGATACGGTAAGCTGACAGAAACTTCTGCACGAGAGCCTGATCACTGATGTCCATGAGTACCATGTACAGCACAATTGTCGAAAAGATGGCCATAAACATGTAATAGCTGTCGAGACATCCACTGGTCGGAGAGTCGCCATATACGTTGCACGTGTCTCCCAGTGCGTACGTGAAGAAGAGTGATGCTGTGGATGATGAGAACACGGAAGCATATGACCATAGGGATCCAATACAGTATAAGCCCATAACGAGCTGTACTGCTGCCTTACCAAGTCGTCCCACAAACATCTCAGCAATCGTGGCAAATTCGAACTTACGGTATGTGATCTGGTGACAGGGTACACCTGTACTAGTAGCTTCACAGACGCCTTCTGCACGTGCCAAGGATTCTAGTGTGTAGTTCATTGTAATTAGTGAACCTACAACACCAGCGATCATGAGTATAAGGGACAGCCCAATACCGGCCTCCATAAAAGCATAAGGCAGACCAAAGCAGCCAGTGCCGATAACGTAGTTAAGTGTCATGGCTAGCGTTACAGCTGGGCCGTATGGCTTGACTATCATTTGTCCGCTCTCACATAATCCACTAAGACTGTTTGTTAACAGATGTGAGTGTTCATTAGTGGCCATATTAATCGTATGAAGAGAGACAAATGATGTTGCTAGGATACGTTGCTACTAGTAACAAATATAGTCAAGGTTCCTTTCAAAGTTGCTATCTTGATTCAAGGGGAAAATGGCCGACCCGAAGACAAAGACGGAAGAAAAACCTGGTAGAAAAAAACATGTTGCGATTTGAATGAAATGAGGATAATTAGCATGTTTCATGTCTGTTTTGGTGTCAAGATACGACAAATATGAAGTGATTAAGACTTAAAATATGTAAGATGTAAGTATGTTCATTCAATCCATTGCATGGAGTTGATACGAATGGGAAATGAAGCTCTCGACCTACAAAAGACGTCAATCTGAAGTTGGAATGATTTATGAAAAGACGTAATGTCCATACAGTCAATTCAAATGGGGTTACACAATGTAGCCATAGCCATGTAAACGTGTCTCCTGAACGAATAATTGAAACTTGTGCGGTTTGATTTATCTCAATCAGAGATAAAAAACATCAATGCAATATGAACATCAATGCAATATGCTGCACTATTGTTCGTTTTGATGCATTAATGATTCTGTTAAACGAATAGACGACCGTTTTTGTATTGTAATATACTGAGAACGTTCAAATTTGATGTAATTGGTATGTGTCCCCTCTCAAACCCGCTAGGTTCAACGTTGGCACATCGGGTCCATCTGACACATGTAACGTCATTTGACAATCCACTCCCATCACAACAATCACATCTGTATCAATAATGTTGCGTCCTCTATTTCTCTCATTGCCTCGCTCTATGCCGTCACTTCTGATACGTACTATGGCAAAATCTTCTGGTGACATTAAGATTCAAAAGGTAGGTATGGTGGGTCTTGGTCTCATGGGTCATGGTATTGCACAGACCGCTGCTACTGCAGGCTTTGACGTTGTGGCGTTAGATGCCAACTCAACGGGATTGGAAAGTGGCATGAAACGCATTGAAACCTCGTTGAACAAGTTATTAGGTCGTAGTATAAAGAAGGGAACCATGAATCAGCAGCAGGCGGACGAAAAGGCCACTGCTACGCTGGCTCGGATCACACCCACGACAAAATTAGATGACCTTGTGGACTGTGACCTCGTGATTGAGGCGATTGTAGAGAATGTCGAAGTCAAGAAGGCGTTTTATGCTAACCTTGGCAAGGTGGTCAAGCCTTCAGCCATCTTGGCATCCAACACATCGTCGCTAGCCATCTCGGACTTTGCTGGATCCTCGGGACGCGCATCGCAGGTCGTTGGCCTGCACTTTTTCAACCCCGTGCAACTTATGAAGCTTGTGGAAGTCGTCCGCACGGACGCGACGGATCCCGAAGTTTATCAAGCTTGCACACAATGGGTACAGGACATTGGCAAGCATCCGGTGAGCTGCAAAGATACACCGGGCTTTATTGTTAACCGACTGCTTGTGCCGTATTTAGCCCAAGCTATTGCCCTCTACGAGCGAGGAGATGCCACTAAGGAGGATATTGATGTAAGCATGCAGCTTGGTGCTGGCCATCCGATGGGACCGATCACACTGGCGGACTATGTCGGCTTGGATACGACGCTGTTCATACTGGAAGGATGGGTGCGCGACCACCCAAACGAGCCTGCTTTCTTCGTGCCAAATATTGTCCGCATGAAGGTGACAGAGGGCAAACTTGGCCGCAAGACTGGAGATGGGTTCTACAAATGGGACGGTGACAAGCGTTTGTAAGTTGGTGGAGTTCAAGCGGCTCGAGTGTTACGCATTCAAGCACAGATTTACTGGTCAATGTTCTCATCATGATACTGGATAACTCAAAGTTACTAGCTTCGTTTCATGTGTTATGTGTTCTTACAGTTTGTCTACAAACGAGATGGCACCATCCGTTTCGAGCACGATATCTCGACTGGGTACAGCTTGTCAACGTAAATGCACCAAGCGGCAAACCATGCGCGTTTTTCAGCTTCGCAATTCTGTGAGATTCGCGCAAACAGTGCGCTCTTCAGCTTACACAGCACGCGAGAATTATTTTTCCAATGATATAGGAGCCGCTCAGCTTCCATAGAGACAGCCTTTAAGATGTTCATCGGTGCCATTTTCATGAGATCAAACACCAAGCCGGCAAGATATAATCCGTCTGTCTCCCTCGCAACTTTCTCTTTGCTGGGGCTCTTTTCCTCAGCACTGTCCTTAACAGATTCTGTCGGCACTGAAGCAACAGCCACCTCATCTTCTTCGACGAGTAATTCCGTACTGCGCTCACAACATCGCCGAATTGCCCACAATACCATTCGGCAAGTTGTCTGCACAATCTCCTTGTCAGGCTTGGCTGGCATCGTGAGAGCTTCGCAAAAAAAGAGTGAGCCGAAAATTGCCCCGCATGCTTTTGTCAACTCTTGAGGAGAAGCGTTGGCTGGGAATGCAGCCAGTGTGAGTCGTAAATAATGCGGAAACACTGTGAAAAGCGGAGTAAACTGCGTTAGATGTGAAAGACAAACCGCGATAAAACGATGGCCAAAGGCATCTGCTGGCTCGAAAACATTGTAGAGCACCGAAAAAGCAACCGAAAGCGCGTCGTCAAGCAGTGACGAGCACTGAAAAAAGCAAGATACGCAGCCTGCGCTGAATGACAAGCCCCACAGCCAGCGCCTGGCAGCCAGCAACAATGTCTATCTCAGGTGAAATCTCATTATTTGCAGTCATTGAATGTATCGCAACTGATCGCAAGACTGGCGTCAAAAGCGTTTCTGGTGGCGCTGCAGTCTGCTCCAATGCTTGCTCCAGCTGCTGCGTCACTGTTTCCATCGCTGCATTAGTAGATGAAGATATGCATACCTCACGTGCAAACTCAATTCGAGATAGAGCGAGGAATGACCGCACGAGATTACAGGATGATAACAGTTCCATAATCGGCGCGATGCCTTCATACAATTTCCTGATAAACTCCACGACTTCGGCTGCTGAGGTGAGCAAGCTTTCATCATGGACTGCAGGAGGATCTGGTGACTGGACTTGGAGTAAAACTTGTCGGCGAAAAAAAGTCTACCGGAAGAACAGATTGTAGGGATTTTATCAAGACTATGTACGCTTCAAGCGAACTGTTGAAATAGGCAATCGTCTCCTCAATGCACACTTCCGCCATCCGAAACGAAAGGTCTTGGAGGACGGCGAGCGACGAATCAACTACCAAAGCCTTTACCCTCTGATGAACTTCCATTTGATAATTAGAAATTGTTACGCCATCGTATGGTTTCAAGCGTGTCGACGTTAGGGGTAAAACCGAAAAGTCTCAGCAGCGCAAATTGACTCAAAATCATCGCATTTCCTGATCGTAACTGAGCTTCCAAATTATTTGAAAACCTAGCGTCGTCAAGACTTGCCAGACCAAGCGCCATAGCAACCGCAGCAATTGCACTGTGTGGTTGAGGAAATGACTGATGCGACAGCTCGTCAACAATTGTAGCTCTCAACGACTCTAGATACCCCGCCACCTCCAATGGCCGAAAAGCAGATGTTAAAGCACTTAAGACAAGCGCGGTAACAGCTACACCTGCAGCGTTGCTCGTGATAGGAGCAGCACCCCACTCGGAGGTCACACAATTTTTTCAGCCAAGCATCTGTCAGCAACGAACTATTCGCCACTTGAGCAGGAGAATGGAGATATTCTCGAAGCGGAGTAGCAATATTAACAATAAATGCTAAGTCGTATTCATGCATAGCAGCAGTCATCCAATAACAAAAGCTTCAATCAACTTTGGCGCAGCATCACTCACAACTCTACTTGGAGCTTCACACAACGGCTTAGCGATTACGGCATCCCACAATTGCTGACTGAACATCACCTGTATCTCCTTGTTAAAGTCCGTCTTCGATGTTGGAAAGTCGTGTGGAGGACGTGACGTCATCATGAGCATAGCACAACTCTTCTCCTTGTTTGTACTCATCTCACAGGACTGCAAGACATCTAAAGTGCCGCCCAACTCTATCCACAACATCCAAAACCTACAATTCAATGCCTCCGTCTTCTGCTGTAGCTTGTGCCAATGATAAAACACGTGTAGCAATTCTCTTAACGTCGACAGCAGCTCATTTGACGTCTGTTCTTCCTCATTTGTGTGATGTAATCCTTTTGTACCTAATGACAGCGCTGTAATCTGCTTGTGCAACCAGTCTAATACTTGCGCCATCGCTTCCACAATCTGTTCTTGTTCGGCATCGTTCTCAGCCGTCAAATACTCACAAGATACAGAGTTGAGCACATGCAATGAAGAAATGACGTTCTCCATTAACAACGTCTGAGATTCTGCAGTATGTGGCTCTATATCACGAGATACAGCCTTGTCTTTAGACCAAATCTACGCCGCCGATAAGAGCTCAGAATATGACAATAAGACTTTTGTTTCATTCCTTTTACGCTTTTTTTTAGATTTAGAAATGCTTTTTGATGACTTTTCATGGGTTTTATTGAATTTTAAGTGACATTTCCACGTATTCTCCTTATGTTTGAACTTGTTTATGGAAACGAATGTTAACTTAAGGTTCACTTTTGAAAGTACCTTTTAGCTACAAAAGAGTATTATTATCAAATCATGATAAGCTTTGTTCTCACCAATAAGAATCATGTTCAGTATCCTCAATCGAATGTGATTGCTTTGAATTCAAACGTCCACTTCAAAAAGCGCATCAACAGTTGCTCGTATACTGTCGTCTCCTAATCAATGTCGCCTAACATCGCGTCTTTTTTTAGCAAAACTTCAAACTACAGGCTCAACGTCATACCGTTCTGGCTCTACTTTTTCTTTGGACTGGCTTGATTTGTCTCTCATCGTCGTCCTGGTTACTTGCGTGTGCATCGTGCATCAACGCACCCATTGAAGCAGAATTTAGTTCATGGCGACTCAATCATGCCATATTGTCAAGTTTAATAGCTCACTCTCCAATTAAAGCTTGGTGTATTGTTCACAGAGGATGGAATACAGGCTCATTCGCTCGTGTATTGTCCCATATACAAGACCGAGCAAGACAAGACACTGGTACTGGTCATTCCAGGTAATCCAGGTGTCTTGGTCTACTATTTGTCACTGATGGAGGCAATTGTCAAGAAACATGAAAGATGTCATGAAATTCGCTGCTTGTCACACGCTGGTGGACACTCTATGCCGTGGAAAAACAACGGACGAGTGTTCACGTTGCAAGAGCAGCTAGAGCGCAAAGCTTTCTACTTGCAGCAGGAACTACATAATGATCCAACGCTGTACCTTGTGGTCAGTGGTCACTTGATCGGCAGCTACTTCTTACTCGACATTGCAAGGCGATTTCCTCAACAGAATGCCAAGTTGATGCAACCGACGATCATGCACATGGCGCTATCTCCCAAAGGTGAGCCGATGTCACCCTTGTTCGGCCACTACGAACGCACAGTGTCACGTGTTAATGCGGTGGAGTATCTGGTACCACCATTCCTACGTCGCTGGAATGTCCATCGTGTTGTGGGTCCCAAAACGTCCGCCACACTGCAATTGGCCTCGTTAATCCCTTGTGAACGCTTTGTCATGCGCAATGTTCTTGGAATAGCTGCTAAATAACGGAAGAGGCTACTGTATGGATGTAGATGTAGTGGCATTATTTGAAGACAAAATTTTGTTCGTCTATTCGACGGTGAACGAGTGGGTGCCAGCCGAATTCGCGATGCTGCGCGCTCGAAAGAAGTGCCAGGTCCGATTCCCGAGCGCGCTGTAGCCGAGCTACTGTAGCCAAGCTACTTATTCACTATGTGCAGAGAAGACAAGCTCAAAGAGCTTCTACGTCTATGGGTGCTTAAACCTTCCTAGGCTAGCTCGTAAGCTCGTGTCTATCGGTTGTTACAACCGGGTCTCAAAAAGACTAGTATCAAAAATATTGATTCCCTTCTAATGGAATAGAACGCTCAAGCACTGATGCTTGTAGAGCAGGTTTGAAACTGATGTATTTTCATGTGTATCTTCTAACGC